ATTATTATTATTATTTCCTTTTTATTATGATCTGACATAGAAGGTCATTTCACTGAGGATTTTCCCCAACTCTAACAATTTCAAAAATTGTAAACTTTTGAATGCAGTGTTCAAAGTTATACCTGTCCTTTAAACCATGTGATCTTTCATTTGAATGAAATGCAGAACACTAAACTGAGCCCTCATAAAATCAAATTGCATGTGCAGCTCCATGATACTGAGCCCTCTCTGCCTGTGATACCCTTGTCTATGCTAACATATCCTCCTCCCTCAAAGTCCCACTTCAGGGTGGCCACCCTGTGAGGTACTCCTTCTTCTCCAGGTAGCCTGCTATTCCTTCCTTTGGGCTCCTACCAACTCGCTCCTATACTGTTGTAGCACTTGACATGTTTTATTGTAAACTTTTAAAAATTTTCACTCTGCCTGCTCTGTCACATTAGGATTTCCTTTCGTTTGGGACCATTCACTTTGGTATTATTATTATTAGTAGTAGTGTTTTTGCCTTATTATTTTATAGCCTCGTTTATTTTGGTAATTGGTATGTAGTATACAACAAAATGTTGGACTTTGGGGGGTTTTTATAATTTAATTTATGTCACACACAATTAAAGAGTTTATCAAATGATCATATACAATTTAAACAATACTAAATGAATACTCACATACCTGCTACCCAGCCTGTGCAAGAGAATATTATCAGTACCCTTTTTTAAACTACTCAACAAATATTAACTATTTTTTTAAATATTTTTTTTAGTTGTAGGTGGACATATTACCTTTATTTATTTATCTATTTATGTGGTGCTGAGGATCTAATCCAGTGCCTTGCCCATGCTACGCAAGTGCTCTACCACTGAGCCACAGCCACAGCTCTTAACTTGACTTTTTTAAACATTAATTTTACCAAGTGTTCTAGCTCTCCAATGTAATTTTGATTCTTGATTTTGACATACCCCATAAACAATCATTCCAAGTTTTGCCATCTGAAAATATGATAAGCTTTACTTTTATATTATCTTACATATCTTAGTTAAGGTTATTAACTAAGGTCATGCCAAGGACAGATCTAAAGACATCCTGCATGGTTACAGTTACTTTTGACTACAGTCACCTGACAATCCCATCACATAGACTTCACTGCAAGGAAAGCAAACAACTATTTGGTATTTAACACATCCTCCTGAATAATCAGTTTGTTTGTGGCAGTGTATTTAATCTTCAGAAAAGTTTTCCAACATTCATCCATTCTTCTCCTTTTGGAATGGAGGACTCTGAGGCTCAGAAAGGCTACCTTGCATAAGTCACCTATCTAGAATGAGACAAAATCAGACATAAAATCAAGCTGTACCTGTCCTGACCCCTGCTCTCTCTGCTTCTGTTCACCAGTATATCAGGAAAACCTATTGAAATCATTTAGGAAATAAAGACGGCCTAACCCACCACTTGTCAAGGCCAGAGGTCTGCTCACTGTAAGTGAACCTTTGTTGCCTCCAGTGGCCCTTGCTTTCTACCCTTCAAACTCAGAAGAAAGGCTTAAGAAATGAAGGTAGATTAAAATCAAGGACATCATTTGGCAGAGGCAAATATAGAACCTATTGAGTGTGCTGTCTTACTGCTTGGTGTTTTTGTAATGTTGGACACATTTTTAACTCTCCTCGTTTGCATGATTGGAGCAATGGGCAGCATTTTCCCTTAGGACTATGAGGATTAGGTAATTAAACACTAGTAACATGCTTAGAATAGGCCTGTACTGACTTCCCAGTCCGTCTTAGCCATTGCTGCCAGCAAAGTCATTGTTACTAGGAAGTTAGCGTTCCTATAAGTCATCTGTCATCAGCATCCCGTAGTCACCTGTCATCAGTGTAGTGCAGTGAGCTCTCTCCTTTTGAGTCACAGAGCAGCCTCCAGGCCAAGACAGCCATCAGCATGGAAGTAGCTTTCACAAAAATCTCTTCAAATATTTAGGTTTTCTTAGAAGGATTAAAGAACCCATAAATATACAAATGTGCATTCTCTGATCCTGTCTCTCAAAGCAAACTATTTTTTGTCCCCTCCAGAAGCCAAGGGTTTGGAAATGATGGGAAGTACTCTTTGTTTCCTTAGTTTACTTGAAATGTCAGATGAGAATCTTGTGCCATGTCAGATGAGTGAGCACAGACAGATGTCAGCTCAAAACTGTCTTCCTGAACAGAGCGAGGCAGAGCCATCACTAGACACTTGTAAGCAACAGAGCCACAATCTTCTGCTGAAGGCCTACTGTAGCTCACCCAATAACATCCTTAGAGTGTGTGACTGGAGGCGGGAGGCAGGGGGTGGTATGTATCAAGGAGTTTGAGGTCAACATCTGTTCAGTTCAGATCCTACCATGACAATTTACTGGCTGGATGGCCATGGAAACTTACACAACCTCTGAGACTAGCCCATCAGATGGGGCGGAGAGTTCTGGGAGGAAGCCCATGTGGGGCACAAAAAAGAGATGATCTGACTTTGCTGGCTGTCCATCTACCTGTCTAGACCCTGCATTCTAACAGGTTATGAATATGGAGTGTCTTCTTCACCCCTGAGAGGCTCTGCAATGCAAGTTAAGGCAGGATTTTCTAGGGTTGGCATTCATAGAATTTTCCATGGACAAAAGCAGAGTGATAAACATGAATACCAATTAGTATATGCTCCTTGTAGCACTTGCGTGCTCTCTCTCTCTCTCTCTCTCTCTCTCTCTCTCTCTCACACACACACACACACACACACACACACACACACACTGAGGACATTGTATATATGTGTCACATTATAGTTCACACATCACTTCTTCAGTGCAGCTTTCCCTGTCCCTAGACTGTATTAGGCACCTCACCTTGTATGCTCATGGTATGTGTAGCCTGCCTTCATTCACTCATCCTAGTTTGTAATTACACATTTTTGTGTTGATTTGATGGATGCTTGTCTTGGGGTAATTAATTGCCCAGTTTGGCTGAGGCCAAGGAGTTTTTCAGGACACAGAACTTTCAGCTCTAAAACTGGTGGAGTCCTGGCCAAACCTGAATGACTGAACACCCTGGTACTCCTTCCTGTCAGGATGCCATGCTCCATGAGGGCAAGGACTATGCACTTTAAAAAAAGGAAAAAACACTTATATCCAGTGCCTGGCATATATCTGGATCTTCGTGGGAAGTCAGGAAACATTTATTGAACCAGTAAAGAATGAATATGTCAATATAAGCTGAACTGTCTTTTCCTATAGAAACCCGTCTTTTCCCCTGAGATTGTTCTTTCTATTTTAGGTGCTAATGTCCCTTTTTTATATATAAATTTCCCTTACTTGGCAAGATTTAAACATGTCAGTACCAAATAGTTTTCCTTGCCTTTCTTCCTTCCCTTCCCATTTGGGGGTCGGAAATCTTCTGATTTGAGAAATGAATAGTTTAGTGGAAAAGGAACTAGAATAGTGGGCATCAAGAGAGTTAAACAAGCTCTCTCTGCTAAAATGCTAGATGATGACGTTCATGAAGAAAGGAATTATGGATATTCAGTTTACTTCTTTATCTCTAGGTTCTAGCATAGTACCAAGTGTATGTTGCAAGAGCTGAATAAACATTTGTTGAATAAATAAATGACTTAAATAAATAAATGATTTCTGCTCAGTCTCAAGACAGGTTGGAGTCAACCTCTTGTGCCTAACTCCTTCTTCCTTCCTACCCCCTGTAGGTAACCCTTTCCTAACACCATAAATCTGACCTCAGCAGCCCTTCCTGCTGGATGGAGAAGCAGGTCTCATAGCATAAAGGAGGAAGCACTTTGACATCTTTCCTGATTGGCTGTTATACATTAATTTTTTAAAAGGAAAACAGAACTATTTAATCTGATTACCTGTCATTGCAGTCAATTTCACCAAATCCTGCTGACAAGGACATTAATTTCACCAAATCCTGCTGACAAGGACATAAAGCTTACATTTTGTGCTTTGTTTATGATTAGAGCTATCATTTCAGGGAAATCGGGATGGCTAAAATTTTGTCTACTTAGTTATGACTAGTTGGCCTTGTGGTATTTTTGCTTTTCTTTAACACACTCCTCACCCTCTAGATCCCTCTTCAACAGTCTCTGTCTTGTCTTTACCATCCCATGGACCATACCACAGTCTATTTGTCTGTGTATTCATGTAGCTCCTGCTAGATTGGAGCTTCTTGAAAGGAAGATGCACCAGAGGGCATGCTGTTAGATGGCTTGTAAATAAATTGTGAGAGGAATGTATCAGTTATCTATTTCCACAAAAAGGCTAGGTAACAAATGTGGAACCTTAGTAGTGTAATGGTAGAGCTGTATTTTTGCTCACAAGTCTGTTGATTGGCCGGGTGGCTGGGATGGTCTGGGATAGTCAGCTTCTGGCCAACTAGGGGGATTTTCTGGTCTTGCCTGGGCTCTCTCATATGTCTGGGACAGCACCTGAGACAGCTGGGCTGATTCATCTCTGTTGCACAAGTCTTCTCATCTGGAGCATGTCTCTTGGCCAAGGTAGAAGGTCAAAAGAAGAAAAAAAAAGCACATGGCCCTGGGGAGGCCCAGAACTGGCACAGTGTCACATCTGCCTCCTTCTCTAGGCAAAACAAGTCACAAGACTGACCCAAGATTCAGCAGGTTGAGAAATAGATCCACTTCTCAGTGGCAGGAGCCACAAAGGGTCATAGAAAAGATGTAGACACAGGATGAGTAGAGAATGGAGACGAATTTTACAGTCTCTCCCACAAAGTGGGAACCAGAAAGGAAATACCTCCTATGTTTCTTTATAAAATAATCACTTTACTGCTTTGACATCTAAATGAATTTATCAGAAATATTTCCAAAGATGGAGCCATGATCTTCCTTGGGAGAGAATAACTCCCCCACCATATTCAACAATAAGCTGAATTCTATGGTCATAGAAGCATTAGGTAGGAGGAGGGTGAGGCTCCCTCCAGCCCCCAGGGTCAGCATTTTCACATAATTTTCCCCTTTTCTTCCAGATCAGCAAAGACCCAATTTTTGTACCAGGTGTCTGGGGGCCTTATTTCTCAGCCATGGTCCCTGGGTTCTGGCTGAACGAAGGTGGTCAGAGTGTCACTGGAAAATTGGTAAGTTGACACTTTCTCTGTAGCTTCAGGAATGTTTACACCATTGACTATCCCATTTTGTCACGTCACCCATATCCCAGTCATTGGAATATTTGCATATTCCTAAGTCAGCTAACATTCTCTTAGTGTACAACCTAACATATGTTGCATTGTCGTGTATGTTTCATAAAGGATTAACTGTTGCTCCAGGCAGAGATGACTGTCCCTTCTTTTCACTGTTCTTTCTCCACATCAATCCGTGCCCTCCCCACCCCCTCCAGGAGAGAGTGATATTCTGTTTTGTGAAAAAATGACAATGTTACTTCCCAGCCCAAACCCTTTAATGGTTCCCTGTAGCCCTTGAGACATAAGTCAGATGATTTGCTGGGCACATCATCCTTTTTGCAGTCTGTGTACTCCAGCATCACACATGTGCCGGTCACTTACGTTAGATGGTGAAGGACTCACATGGCTCATGTTATCCCATTCTTCTGTCCCTTTGTATTTGCTTCTTTTCCTGCTTGGGCAGGCAGTTTTACCTGTCCTTTAAACACAACTCTAGTTGATGCAAAGGTGGTGCATTAGTCAGCTTTTTGTCACTGTAACCAAAACACCTGACCAGAACAACTTAGAGGAGGAAAAGATTATTTTGGCTCACAGTTTCAGAGATTTGGTCCATAGGGGGCCAACTCATTTGCTTTAGGCCTGAGGAGAGTCAGAACATCATGGTAGAAGCAGGTAGCAGAGGAAAGCTGTCAGCTTCTGGCAGCCAGAAAGCAGAGAGAGCAATCAAGCTACCAGGGATAAAACATAAAATGCAAAAGCATACCCAGTGACCCATATCTTCCAGCTATGCCCTACCTGCCTAGAATTACCAGCCCATAATCCCTTTATATTATTAATCCATCCAATGGATTAATTCACTGATCAGATACAAATCTCATAATCTAATAATTTCACTTCTGAACATTTCTGCATTGTCTATCATATGAGCTTATTGGGGAAAACATATCCAAACTATAACAAGTGGTTAGGAAATCTTTTTCATGGGAGACAGTGTTTGTGCTGAGACTTGAAAGATAAATACAGATAAACCAGACACAGAAGGGTAGGGACAGGCTTCTAGGCAGGAGAATTTGCAATGGAAGAAGATGTGGACGTGATAAGTAACAAGCATATTTGATGGTAACAAGCATATTTGATGGTAACAAGCATATTTGATGGTAATTAAAATAGTCCATAATTTCAGCTCTGGCCCAAATTATTCTCAGAAAAATAGCTTAAAATAAAAATTAGAGAGCAGGAAAGGGACCATGTCTTAAAAAGTCCCTGAAAAACATGCTAAGGAATCGAGCATCATCAAGGAGAGTAGGTAGACACATTCAGGTCTCAGTTGGAAGAAACCCTGGATAATAGCCATGAGGAAGAAGGTCTGAGGGCACATGTCCAGAGGAAGGGAGACCAGTTTTATTAGGTTAATCCCCAGATAAATAGCCATGAGGGCTTTAAGAAGGAGAGTAGGAGTGATGACTGGGAGTTGAGGTCAACAGATCAGCAGGGCTGCTGAGAGATTGGATGAAGAATGCAAGGGAAAAGAGATCTAAGCTCAGTTACCCAATCTCCCATTTACTAGGTTACACTGAAAGTGTCTGTTTATTGTCTGAGTCCCCTCCCAGCCCTTCTAGGTGTGCAGCCAAATTCCAAGTGGTCTGATCCAAAGCTGGATATGGATACAAATAACCATTAATTTCCATTTCTTAAGTATTTCTATTTTAAACTTCCCTAAATGACCTCTCAAAGTCAGGTAGAAGTGTAGGTGGGTGAGTGGGTTCACAGAGCATATTCTGTACCCATGCTCTTGTGCCAGGCTAGAGAAATGAATCTACTGAGTCAGTCCTCATCAGTCCCTGGTCCTCAGGATCAGACTCTGAAATAATTAATATCTGATTGGTCTTAAGAACCATAAACAGAATGGTCAAGAAGGAATACATCATGCCTAAAGTACGGCAGTATGGATGTCCACCTAACATTCTCCTTATTTAAACCACTGCTGTGTTTGTATGTAGCATTCTATTTAAATATCCACCCCCTTTCTGTTGCATATTGAAGACCTATAACTAAAAGCCCTTTTTAACCCCACATCATAGTATAGTCATAAGAATCCACAGAGGACACAGTCTAGAAACTTTCTAAACAAGGATGGGGGAAAACAACAACAACAACAACAACAACAACAAACACACTTCTTTGCATAGGATGCATTGTTCAACAGGGTTTTACAGACAGCATACAAATTAGACATCTTTTTCAGTTGGAAATGTTTTTTTCCAGTATTTGGTTCAGTTATTTGCTCTGGATATAAGTTATCTTCACATACGTTTTAACATATATTTGTGAATAAAAATTAGTTATATACCTATTTCATAAGATTACATTTTAATTTTTAGAAAATTTGACCTCTTTTTTGCTACTTCTAAAAAATCTTTAGTTTTCCACTATGAGTTTTGATATAAGGCTTGAGAATTGTTAGCCTATCTGTTCAATTAGCTTTGCACTATAAACCATTCCAGTTATATTGGGAGCTCCACTTTGGACAATCTGACATATATAATTTCATTGGACATAGAATTGGGTCATGATTGACCCATGGATTATACACAGCAAAATCTTAACCCATTTTGTCCCATCATCCCAGATGTGTAAAATGCATAAATAATTAAATGTAATATGTATGTAATAATATATGTAATATATGATACACAACATAATAATGTGTAATTGTACAATGATATAATTATATGATGTTGTTACTATATATAATAAATATATACTACATAAAATAACTAATATAATAGTATTCTTATATAATACAATATATTGATATTTGTTTTATAATAATATAATTTATTATAGCAAAATAATATTATAGCACTATAATATAAAATATATAGTGTGATATAATTTATAACATGATTATATTGTAATATAATTATGATAATAATATAATAACATTTAAGCTCTAGATTATTATTTTCAACCTATTTTAATGCACTTATGTCAATTTTTTGAAACATCTGCAAAATTGAAAACTTGGGACTTAATGGATTAAGAAACCTAAAAGCTGCCATGATAGAGCAAAATTTGAAACAAGAACAAAGTAGACTATCTAGTAAGACAGCAGTCTGGAGATGCCAAGCAAAGAAACATAAAACAGCTATAAAACAAAGAAAATGAGGAAGATGATATTAATAACAATAATTGGAGCTTATCCAGAATTTTTTCTGTGAGAGGGATTTATATCCTTGAATGATAGTCATAATAATTATGATGCCTAATGTTATTTTGAAAGTTTATTTCCCAGTTTCGATTCCAATAATTTTTCATATATTATCTCATTTAATCCTCTCACAACCCTACACTTTGCAGAACTTTATAAACATGCTCTTGTAGATTCTCTCAGGAGATAGGAAAAGTTATTATCTGTATTTTATAATGGACCACTGAACCCAGGGTTGCCAGCACTGCCTGACCCACCACCAATGGCCTTTTCATATGGTCCCTTTGCCACTTACCTTTCCTTATGGCTTACTAATTCTGGTTCCTTCTATGGTAAATTTTGATCTCTGGTTTTGAAACATGCTGTCATCATGTAGAACTCTAAGAGGAACTTGTATCCCTCTGTTCTTTGTTTCATACACACAACTCTGTTAAACCTCAGCTGAAGGTTGCTGTAGCTGCAGACTCAATCAGAAATATACCATCCACATCAGAAGAGAAGGGAAAGGAAATGGGAAAAGAGAAGAAAAGGGAAACAAGGAGAAAGAAGGAAAAAAAATAAAAATAAGAAAAAGAAAGGAAAGAAACACACAAACTGTACATCACTTGAAAAAGAATACTAAAAGTTTCATTTTTTCCAGTTAGATACATACAGAGAACTTCATTACAAAGCAAAACCATCATTCCAAGTATATGAATACATTGGTACTTTAAAAACAAATCTTCATCTTGTTATCTTCAGGATGAAGAAAAAATGGGATATTTTTCTGGTCCTGGAACTCTTACAGTCTCATTTGACTGAGAATTAGACTTATTGTTGACTCATTTCACATCACTGATATTTATTTCTTCTCTGAAAGGCCACACACTCCCTTTCCATGAATGATTGGTTTTAGTTGTACCACCAAACACCCATCCAAGGTTGTCTCATGCTCACCAATTTTCCAGAAAAATCATGCAAAAAACATTGATTTTTGCCCAGACTTTTTCCACAGATCACTAACCCTGGTGTTCACTGAATCCAGATGCTGAAACTCATTTCCAGCTGGATCTTGGCCATCCCCCATCTAACTGCTCCTCTCTGTCTTAATTGAAGTGAGTTCTGTTGGAAGAGGTGTTGGGTAAAGGGAGGCCAAGATAAGTTCCTGCGCTGTACTGTGGTAGATTTGCTTCCTGGGACAATTGGGTTTACATTGGAATTGTATGAACCCAGAATTTGAATTTTCAAAATTGAGTCATAGGACCACAATGCAACAAGTTTGTCTGTATTTTTGGAAATGTAGGATTTGTGCATTGGGAATGCCTATCTATATCCGCCCCCCATTATCTCCATGGCTGCTCCATCTGGGGCTAGCCTCTGGAAGTCATCCATAAAAGTAAGTCTGCCATAAGTGGCTTATGAGCAACTTGAAGTGTGTCTAGTGCTGTGCAGGTTATGGAAATGGTCATTTTATCCCTTCTTTCATTCAGTCATTCTATCATGTTACAGGGATTTTCAGATCGATTACACCAGTCCAGGCAAGAATGAGGTCACTCCAGTAGCTCATCATCACCTAAGAAAGTTGGATGTAGTACTGATAATTATAAATTTATTATTGCACATAAGAATAGATTTTCTAGCCCTGCAGCCTACTAGAAAGGTGGGAGCTGGCACGTACTGAGGGCCTGTTATATGTCAAGTTCTTTTAGGCCCAATAAGATTCAGTCCTTCTTTTGATTTTTCCTCATGTACGTGCATGCATGTA